AACATCCAAGGTCCAACATTCAGCATCCAACATTCAACATCCAAGGTTCAACATTCAGCATCCAACATCCATCATCCTATGTTCAACATTCCATGTCCAACATTCAGCATCCAACATTCAGCATCCAACATCCAACATTCAGCACCCAACATTCCACATCCCAAATCCAATGTGCAACATCTGACGCTTTTATTTTGTAATATTTTAAGATGAAGCTGCAGTGGGCGGAGTCAAACCGATCAAAACAGAAGATTAAAGCCTGAACATCTTTCAGGATGCTCAGTCTCGATGAGTTAAACAACAGAAATGCTCTTTTCAGTTTCTCCACAAACAAAACAAACATCAGGAGCTAAAAGATATTTCGTCATAAAAGAAAGTTTATATATATAAAATTCTAAAAAGGTCTCGTGGATGCTGACAACAGTCGGAAGCATCTAGAAACGTGGAACTCTTACGTCCATGAAGTTGTAGATCTTCTGACTGGAGCGTCCGAGGCGGAGCGACGGCGTCCCGGGCGGGAAGCACTGAGCGTAGCGGCGGTTGAACATGTCGGGTCTGTAGTCCTTCAGGAAGTCCTCCAGCAGGCCCTCGGCCCGGAGCTGGGTCCGGATCGGGACCACCCGCGTCAGAGCAACCCTGAGGACAAACGTTCATTTAAGCGTCCTGCTGCTCGTGGGTCAAAAGGATCCGAGGCCTCAGGGGTCACAGGGTCAAATGAGGGTTCAAATAATTTATTTACTTTTTAAAACGTTGTTGGTAAATATTTAACTGGAACCAAGAAAAAGTTGTTCATCTCAGAAAACAGCTGATCTGGTTCCACCCAGCACCTTAAATTAATTTTGTTAAATAGAAAGTTTTACACGAATCAGCTGTTTTAACGGAGTTAGTTTTTTGTTCACCTGAGCAGAGCCGAGCTCGTCCACGAGGACAGCAGCAGCAGCAGCAGCAGCTTCAGCATGGTGTCCGTCAGCCCACTGCCGCCCGGCTAAAGTTCGGTTAGTTTATCAAAGGAGGCCGAGGTCCTGATTGGACCTCGTGGAACTGAAGAGCAAACAGCTCAACCCACCCCCCCCCAGGTCCAGAGTCAGACCTTCAGCTGAAACATCAGAACAAGCTGGAATTAAAACCATCGACTGAGCTTCCATGAGATATTATAATAATAATTATTATTAATATTAATAACAAACATCTGTTTACACATCAGCTCTGAGCTCGGGTCGTTTTCTGATTTTAAAAACAAAATTTAAACTTTCAGACATTTTGTAAAAATCACTAAATCAAGAATGAAAAATAAATATGAGCTAAAAAAAGAAAACAGCTGAACTTTGCCAAAGATGTCAAACCTGAGTTATGGTCCTCAAAAGAATAGCTAAATGTAGCAAAAGAGCAAAGACAGCCAAAAGCAGCAAAACACTAGCTGAACATATTAAGACTGCTAGAAAATTACAAGTAGCTAAAGGCTAGTTAAAAGCTAGAAATAACAGAATGTATCTAAAGGTTGGCTAAAAGTAGCTAAAATAAAGACGAGGCAGCAGCTGAAGATTTCAATCTGAAAGTTTCTGTTGAGATTTATTTGTAAATAAAAACATTAAATTTAGTCATGGCACTCACCTCCTGATGTTTCATTAACAGCTAAAATGAAGTTGAGCAGATGTTGAAGCCGTCCACCTTCATTTCTTTTTACGTTTGAGTCAAAGGAAACGACAAACGTTTTTAATATTTTAACTTGTTTTATAATTTCACTGTAGTTTGTTTAAATCAGGTCTCTCTTGTAAACGAGTCCTCGAGGCTCAACGAGACCAACCTGTAGGAATAAATCTTCAATGGATGGATGAACGGATGGATGAACGGATGGATGAACGCTGACTCAGGAAACGTTTGACCCGTGGTCTTCGGCTCCGAGCGTGGAGCTGCCAACACGGTTGCGTAACGTCAGCGTGGACTCGGTCGGGTCTCGGTCACTCCGACCCGACGACATCGAGCTGAAACTCACGAACCGTTCTGGAAAACGTTCCGCTCAGACGGTTCTGGTTCCACTTCCCACTGGTTCAGGAGATATTTTGCTAACAGACGCTGCGGATCTGAGCCGTGAACTCACGGGATTCATGTTGAACATTTGAATTAAAAAGCGCAGGTTTGAAAGTGATGACGAGCGAACGACACGCTGGAGGAGCAGTTTATTTATTTCAGTAAACAAAAACAAACATTCAAACTTCCTGTTTGAGTCGCTCCGACAGAGCGGCGAGCGCCGCGGCAGAAACATAAATAAGCTCAACGTCTGCGCCCGTCGTCTCTAACAGGGGTGGTTGTCGGGGACTCGCTTCCTGCAGACAAACAAACAAACAAACAAACGGGTCAAAGAGGGGGATAAACAACGGGTCGGGCGAGGCGGCGGGACTCACCTGGGAGCAGCTTTGATGATGTTGTCCACCCTCAGGATCATCTCGGCCGCCTCGGAGGCGCTCAGCAGCACCTGGCGCTTCACCTGGAACGACTCGGTGATGCCGAGCTCCACCATGTCGCCCACCGAGCCCTCGGCCATGTCTGCGGGACAACGACACCTTAAGGACTCGGCTCACGGCGCCGCCGGCGCAGGCGTGCGGTTACTCACTCAGCCCGAACGTGCTCCTGTTCTCCTGATGCGCCGCTCTCAGCTGGGCCACCAGGTCGGCGCTGTCGTAGCCGGCGTTGTCCGCGATGATGATCGGCAGCTGGGCGAGAAAAGAACCGGCTGGATCAGAACCGGAGGGACTTCCAATTAAAGTTACCGCTCAGTTTGACGTTAGGTCCTTGAACGCACCATCCTCAGAGCCTTGGCGAACGACTCCATGGCGGCGGCCTCCTTTCCCGGCGTCCTGTTGGCCAAATCGCTCACGACCTTCGCCATCAGCATCTCAGAGCAGCCTGGGGAGGAAACACGGTGAGAAGCTTCGCCTGCAGGAGGTCGTCTACAAACCGACCCAGACTGAGGTTCACGGGGTCAGAGTTCACAGGTGAGCACAGAACGGATCGACACACGAGGAACGGTAAACGCAGGACTTCCTGCGGGCGCACCTCCTCCGTACACGGTGCGCGGCTCCTTCACGGTTTGCGCCAACACGCACAGAGCGTCGTGCAGCGAGCGCTCCGCCTCGTCCAGGATCTGCTGAGTCGCTCCGCGCAGGACCACGGTGCACGCCTCACCTGAGGACAGGAGGGGTCAAAGGTCAAGTCACAACACGGCAGCTGCAGGCCGACAACAGGCCTGAAGGTACGGAACAACGAGCGCGCCACAAATAAAACTATTTAGTAATTAGACAATTTATGGAAAAAGATGAAGTAAAAAAAAAAAAAAAGGGCAAAAATTTATTTAAAGCACTTTTTTAAATTAAATCTCTGAGCTACAAAATTAAATAAATGTTGCAAACTCACAAAAAAAGTTGATATTATAAAAATATTTCTTATTAAAAGTTCATCTGTGTTTACATGTGTGCAGGATAAGGTTACCACTATTTTTTATTCTTGTATTTACAAGTTACTTATTTTATTTAGACAATCATGTGAATTTAAATCATAAATAAAATGCAGAAAAAGGTTTACAAAATTAAATAGTTGTTTTCTGTGATTCATGTTTTTTAATTTGCAGATTTTGAGTCAATCTTGTCATCCCGTCCCAATTCTATAAATAATTTAATTAGTCAGAATACATTAAATATAATATTGTATTTAATATCAGGAGTATTTTGTAAATCATTTATACAAATCTTTTAAATTTAATTCTGCACCGTTAGTAAATAATAAAATTAATTAAAAAACATGTTGTACAGATGCCAATTATAGAATATTATGATTTGAATTTTTTTTTTTTTTTAATTGGCACCTTTTGTCGATACAAATTTGCAACATCCAAGTAATATTTTAGTTTTGAAGAACTACAATGTGTAAATATTGATACACTGATTTGATTGACATTGATACACACACACTAGTACAGATTAATATTTCCGTGTATATTTTCATTTAATCTTTTTTTTGGCACCTCCTTTCTGCCACACCGCTGCATTAATTCATTAATTCATTAATTCATTAATTTAAGTGAACGGTCACAAGCGGCTCTGGTCGGTGTGAGATGCAGATTTAAAGCGTTTCCTCCTGAAGCGATGTGCGTGCGTACCCATGGCGACTCCGGAGAAGTGGATGAGCGTGTCCTCGCCGATCATCACCTCCTCGATCAGTTTGCAGTGACCCAGCTTCACCAGCTCCGGGTGGTCGAAGGTGGAGGTGATCTCACCGCCTGAATGAATCAGAATCTCATGAAACCAACGTTTCAGCTAAAACCTCACACTCAATTTTTTTATTTTTATAAACGCGTACCGGTGACGAGGGCGAGGCGCTCGACGCCGGTGAAGTCGGCGTGCTCGATGGCCATGACGCCGGCCTGAGCGAACAGCTGCTCCGGATAGTTGTAGATCAGCTGTCTGAGGAGGAACAGGTGGAGTCGTGAAACAAATGAAAGGGTGAGTCGGGTGAAGGGGTGAGGAGGCGACTGAACAGAGGTACGGAAGGCCGAAGGTGCCACAAGTCTCATCGTTAACACACAAACCAATAAATAAACTCTGCCGGCGACTAAAATCAGATTTCATTTTTAAATTAACACATACATGTAAAACATTATTATTTGATGGTTCCTGTGGCTGCAGTGCATCGTGGGAAAAATTAAGCTCTCTTTCCAAGTCCACAAAGAATTAATTAGTCATCCGACATGTTGGACTTTCCTCCAGCTGCGTGATATCACTAAGCTTAGAAACATCTCATCTGAAAATGATGCAGAAAAACTGGTCCACGTATTTATCACGTCTGGGCTCGACTGTAGTAACTCTCTACTACCTGGGTTTCCAAAAAACTCTTAAAGTCTTCAGTTGATCCAAAACTCTGCTGGAGTTCTGTTGTGAGTGAAGAGACGTCAGATTTCTTCAGTTTTAGCTTCTCTCCATTGGCTCCTGTCAATTTCAGAATAGAATTCAAAATTTCCTAACAGAGCACGTTGCACTCAGACTGCAGGCTTACTTGTGGTTCCTAGAGTTTCCAGCAGTAGAATGGGAATGGGAGGAAGATCTTCCAGTTCTCAGGCTCCTCTCTTGTAGAATCAACTTCCAGTTTCTGTCCGTGAAGCTGACACATTGTCCAGTTTTAAGACTTTCCTTTTTGATAAATCCTATAGTTAGGGTTGGGTTTCCTGAGCTGTCCCTTAGTTCTGCTGCTACAGGCTTAGACTGCTGGAGGACAAACTGACCACATGTCCTCCATCTGCTGCTGTCTGAACTTACTCAGCTCAACCCGTTTGTATTTGTAATTATTTCATTAACATGTTTTTATACCCATAGAAACCACACCTGGACCATGGAAACCACACCTGGACCATAGAAACCACACCTGGACCATAGAAACTACACCTGGACCATGGAAACCACACCTGGACCATAGAAACCACACCTGGACCATGGAAACCACACATGGACCATAGAAACCACACATGGACCATGGAAACCACACATGGACCATGGAAACCACACATGGACCATGGAAACCACACATGGACCATAGAAACCACACCTGGACCATGGAAACCACACCTGGACCATAGAAACCACACCTGGACCATAGAAACCTCACCTGGACCATGGAAACCACACCTGGACCATGGAAACCACACATGGACCATGGAAACCACACATGGACCATAGAAACCTCACAGGGACCATAGAAACCACACATGGACCATGGAAACCACACATGGACCATAGAAACCACACCTGGACCATGGAAACCACACCTGGACCATGGAAACCACACCTGGACCATGGAAACCACACCTGGACCATGGAAACCACACCTTGACCATAGAAACCACACCTGGACCAGTCCTCCCCGACTCCAGCCAGATGGTCCTCCATCTTTGTTCTGGCACTTCCTGTTAAAGGGAGTCATTTCTTCCCACCGTCTCCTCTGAGCTTGCTCAGACTGTGATGAAGATTCAGTCCGTCGACTTCCTCACAGACAACTTTCACAAACTGCCATTTTATAATTACGTGAATATTTTTCTACGTTTTTTTGACGTCAAGTTTTTGTACGACGCTCCGAGAAACTTTTGTTATGAATAAAAATAAAGCTTAAATGTAAATAAAGATAAAACAAACTGAAATGTTTCGGGGTCGATTAAGGTGAAAACTGGTTTTATGAACGGTGTAAACGCGTCTCCGGCGGCCCCTCACGCTCTCGTTGGGCTCAGGTGAGTGTTTACCTGTTGATGAAGCAGTTGATGCCGTGTTTCAGGATTCTCTCCACCTTCTCCTTCATCTTCTGCTTCTCTGCCAGTTCGATCTCCGCGACCTTCGCCGTCGAGTCGACGCGAACTCTGGAGCCGAAGATCTGACGGACGCAGGTGCTCGTTCAGAACCACAAAACTTCAAACACGTTCGTTTTCCAGATTCTGGACTTTTACACGAAGCTGCGATCGTTGCTTTTTGTTTTAATATCTGTTCATTTCAGCTCTGAGATTTTTTTTTGAGTTTCTGAACCTTGATTTTGTCCGTGTCCATTCCGGTGTTGGCGATGAGGATCTTGGCGTTTTCCAGCCTCTTTGGTTGGTTCACGCCGATCTTCTTGTCCAACAGGAAACCTGGACAGATCAAAGCGTCACTCCATGGCTGGGTAACCAATCGTAAACAAGAGCTCCGCCCCCCGAGGGCGCGGCGTCTCACCTTGGTCCAGGTAGGAGTCGGTGAGGCTTCCTCCCAGCTTCTTGATGACGTGGATGGCCTCCAGGTTCCCGGAGCCCTTGAGCCTCATGACGGCGTCCACCGCCAGGTTGGAGAAGTGATCTTTGTGATGAGTCAGCAGTTTGGAGGAGAGCGTGGTGCGGGCGATGTTCAGCAGGTCCTCCTGGAAACGGGCCTGGTCGTTGCTATGGAAACCAGGGAGGACAGATAACGCAGGACATGTCACTTCACTCGAGATGAAATAAAAATACAAACAAATTTGATTAAATTGTTAAACTGACTTAGGGAAAAGTTTTTGACACTAAAGCGAGTTATAAATCACAACTTAACAAACCGTTAATGAATATCTTAAGTTTAAAGTTAAAACAGGCTGAAGACTTTAGTCATTTCCAGCCTTCACACGATGCTGCGTTCACTGTTTACAGGAACTTTGAGCTTTTCAAATAAAGCACCAAGCCGGGACTTAACGGCGTCTGGATGCCTTGGTGATTTCTGATGGGCCGAGGTGGTGGGGGGGTCAAAGCCACCCCACTGCTGATGCACCTTCATGCTGTGAAGGGACACGTTAAATAACGAGCAGCTTTATTACAAAGCAAAGGTCGAAGACGACGCGGAGCAGCTTCGTGTTGGTTTTAAAAACGACACGAGGCAGACGCTCCACGTAAACCCATCTGAGTTCTGCTCCACGACTTTACTGGGTTCACAATACTTGCTTCACTTCTTAAAGTTCATGTCTCTGCTGGGCGAGGCCGAGCCCACGATTTATGAATGACCAGAGGAAGCATAAAGACCGACTGGTCTATTCAGCCATTTATGATTTTTTTTTAGGTCCTTTCGGCTGTTGCCTCTTCACGGATATCCAAACCAAGTCATCCTCCTCCGTCTCACTCCATCTACCTCCACGTCCTCTCTAACTGCGTCCATTTGCATTCTCTGAGTAAAACATCTACCTTCCTTCTCAGCATCATGCCAGCCAGCTCTCTACCTTTGTCATTGTCCCCACATTTAAAGTGTCCACCCTCAGTCCAACATTCGTCACCTTCCTCTTCTCCTCCGTCTCCTGACACGTTTCCCTCCTCGTGGTCTTCGACTAACAGTAGCACGATTTCCTGTTTGTCAACAGCACCGGTGGCGGTCGTTGTTAACCCGGGCCTCGACTGATCCGGTATCATGTCGCTTTGATGAACTCGTATTGTAGTTTTGGCAAAAGTGTTTTACGTCGGATGCCCTTCCTGACACAACCCTCACCATTTACCGGACTTGGGACCAGAACCAGAGCAGTTCTGTTTTCCCAGCGATGCTCGAGTGTCAGGAGTTGATCTGCATGTCGATTTGTTCGGACGGGTCAGAACCAAACGCTGGTCGAACTTCAGACGATTAAAGAATCGGGTTCAGTGAGTTCAACAGGACTTCCTGCTGTAAAAACACACGACTCATCATTAACCGTGCGTGGGACGCCTCCTCCCAGCCGAGTCGGGTCTACAGGTGCGGTCTCACCTGTGGTCGACAGCCGCCTCCTTCAGAGCCTCTCGGGCCACCTGAGTGGCCTTCCTCCAGCCCGAGATGATCGTCTGAGGGTGAATCTTCCTGGCGATGAGAAGCTCCGCCTCCTGAGATAGGTGAAAGCGCAGGTTAAAGAACGGCGACTTTAGGAAACGCAGGCGATCAGGTTGGAAAATTTACCCGCAGCAGCTCGGCGGCGAGCACCGTGACGGAGGTCGTCCCGTCTCCGACTTCGTCGTCCTGAACTTTGGACATGTCTGCAAACACCACGTTCGACGCGCCACGTTTAGTCCGGAACAAACAGAGAAGTGTCCAGCAGATGTTTGACGTCGACACTCACCAACCAGAACTTTGGCGGCCGGGTTGTCGACGCCGATGGCCTTCAGGATGGTCGCCCCGTCGTTGGTCACTGTCACTGTCCCACTTTTTCCTCCTCCGCTCAGCAGGATCTTATCCTGGGAAGACGAGAGGAAACCAGTTACCTGTGAGGGCTTACTTGTAGTTCAACAAAACCAGAAGCAACAAGTCGGTTCTAAAGGGACCTACCATCCCCTTCGGCCCCAGAGTGCTCTTCACCAGGTCTCCGATGGCGATGGCGCCCACGAAGGACGACTGGAGACAGGAAACAGTTTTAATGTAGATATCTACACAGCAGTAAATGGACTTTATAAAAGTGAAACCTAACCCACCAGTCGAGCGGTTTCTGCTTTTTCTTCATCGGCTCCATGTTTGAAGATGCTTACCGGGGCCATCGATAGGGACGCCTACAGAACCAGGTACATTAAGAGAGTCACAAAAACAGGAACGCTGCTGCGAGATGGACTCAGAGTAAGATCAGGTCTGGATAGTTTTCAACCAAACCAGGTGGAACGTTGTTTTATGGCCTCGTCATAAAAACACTAAAATATTCAAACTGTCAAAAACCTTAAAACAAATAAACAAACCAAAGGACATACGGCTCAACTACAGTGATTGTTTTATTGTTACCTAGTAAATCGGTAAAATGTACATTTTTTAACACACAAAACAATTTGATTTATTTCAGTTACACAAATGTTATAAAATAGATATCACAAAAGAAAACTATTCCTAGAATTTAAAATCCAAGAATATATTAATTTAATGACAAACCCACCACCACCTTGGAGGTGCTCATGATTTATAACAATATGAAGATTTTAAATTTTGCAACAAATAAGTAAAGTGCTAGAATTGTTGGTCGATGAAATTATTGACAACCATTGTAATGATAATTGGTTTGGATTCCCAGCACAAGTGAACGCAGCAGCATCGAAGCCCCGCCCATTAAATCCTGGAAACCGCTAGAAGCTTTTAATTTATTAAAAATATCGCGCATGAAAACGCAGCATGCGAAACTGTAGGGATGTTTATACGCAAATTACGATAAGCGTTGCCTCTCCAAGTGTTTGGTGAATATTGATCACATCAATAATTGATGATTTGTTCCCGATTGACGGCTACAAAGGAAGCTGAGGCGATGAGTTAGCATGCTAACGGGCTAACTGCGTGCTAACTAACAAATGATAAACCAAACCGAAACACAAACAACCCCAGGACTTGAAATAATGATATTAGACGTAAACTCGACAGCGTCACCACAGCTGATAAAAACTAAACCTGACACTGAAGCTGTTAGCTTTAGCTTAGCCGCAGCTACAACGCCCATGTGCTGAACACCGGTTAGCACACCGCGCTACAATTCAGCTAAAAAAAAAAAAAAAAAAACTACAATAAAACTAAACATTAGTGTCTATAGGTGGCTGCAGCAGAGAAACATTTGATCTAAGGTTTAAAATGAGATATTTTTAATCAGATACTCACCATGATGTCTAAAATTCAAAGCCGAAGCTGCAGACGCACACTGAGGAAGGGCTGTACGTAGGAGTGACGCAATTACGTAAAGACGCAATGCTGCGTTCATGTACAGTACGGAAAATACAAAGTCAACGTTATAGCCAAATACGGCATGAAAACGCAGAATATGAATAAAATATGCGATGTTTTCATGTAAGTTTTGAGTAAATACAGAAACTTTATTTTTAGGAACGCAGAAACAACAAATATAATAATATTAGTTACATTACTGTCGTTTTTATTTTGTGATAATAGCCTAAAAAATGAACACATTTAGTTTAGTTTTACTTATGAGGTTGTTGAAAGTTAGAACATTTTTTTATATGTCCTAATATATAAAACTTGAAATAAAATCAAGAAATGGTCATTATTTATTCTTTTAGAATCGGTTCAGTACATGTATGTAAAATAGTTTATAAAGGAAGTACATAAAGAACACACTGACCACTTTTAATGGGTTTGTAAACTGAAACATATCAAGTTTTAAAAGTAATTAAAAAATGTAGCTTTTTATCCATTTAAAATTTTAAAAAATTATTTATTGTTTGTTTGTGCTGGGTCCCCGGAGACGCTAAAAGTCAATTTAGGAATATTTAGGACAACTGACTTCTTTTAAACAAACAGGAAGTTCTTCTGTGTCCACGTTAAAGTGAATAAACTTTAAAAAGCTTCTTGGAGCTTTTTTTATTGCGATTCTTTTTGTGTGTGTGAATAAACTGAAGCTGAAATAAAATAATCAGCGGGTCATTTAGTTAGTTTTCATGTCAACTGCTCTGAATATTTTCTCATAAACCAGAATAAACCTTTCAGTCGTGCTGGTTTATCCTCTTGACCTCCTGAAAAACTGAGACGGAGACTCTGAAGTGGAGGGTTGAACTTTTATTCATTTAGTTTAACATTTTTTACACTTTGTTCCTCCGTCAGCTCCTCGTCTTTGAGCCGTGCCTCCGGCCGCGGTGAGCGGTGGACTGGACCGGCAGGCAGTAGATGTGCATGGGAAACACCTTGAAGTAGCTGCTGACCCAGGGTCTGTGGAAACACCAAGCAGAACTTCACAGAGCCTTCGTGTCTGACAATCTGGACCGACACTTATCAGACTTTTCATTTTTATTGTAAATAAAATCCATCTTTGTGTTCAACAGTGGTGGGAAGTTATGCTAACAGCTAAGAGCTAACAGCTAAGAGCTAATATCCATTCATCATCTTTACCCACTTCTTCTTTGTCGGGTCACTGTGTGGGCACACCTGGACAGGTGTCCAGTCCATTGCAGGGACACCTGGGACAATTTAGAGTTATCAATCAGCCTAACATGAGCAGCTGTGGCTGAGTGGTTAGAGCAGTCGTCCTCCAATGCAAGAGTTGGGGGTTTGATTCCATCAGCAGCCACATGTTGAAGTGTCCCTGGGCGAGACACTGAACCCCTCGTTGCCTCCGATGTGTCCCATCGGTGTCTGAATGTGATAAAGCTCTGATTAGTCTTTGTAGAGATCTAGTATAGAGCTGTATGAACGGGTGGCACAGATTGTTGTAAAGAGCTTTGAGTGTACAAGTACAGTCCATTTATCATCTAACATGCATGTTTTTGGTCTGTGGGAGGAAACCGGAGAAAACCCACGCAGCACGGAGAGAACATGCAGACTCCACCCAGAATGGACCACCGGCTGGGATTTGAACCGGTGACCATCTCGCTGAGAGGCAACAGCTCTACCATCTAAGCCACCGTGCCGCCCCTAACAGGTAACAGTGTAATAAATTTTTCGTTTTGCAGATTATCGTTTTTGCTAACTATGGAAACCGTTAGCGGAATTAGCTGAAGCTAAAATATGTTTCGCTAACTTTAAGTCCGCTAATAAAATTCACGAGCTTGTTCCTGTCTGTTGTGGGCGTGTCTCAAGGAGTCAAGAGTACGTGTACATGTGACAAGACGTGATTGGTCGAGGCAGCTTCAACTGGAAGACGTGACACAGACTGACTGACAGTCGTCTTGGTGGTTAGCGGTTTAGCTAGCCGTGCCCACCACTGGTGTCTGATGATGGAAAGAGTCAGGAAGTGAAACACTGGGCTCAAACCGCCGTACGTTTGCGTTTACCTGGCGACTCGCTGGCTCAGACTCAGGTAACACAAGTTTTGCCACAGGAGTTTGTTTTCCTGCCCACGGAGGAACTCGGCTTCCTGCCGTCGCTCCTCGTCCAGACGGACAGACTCCTGAAGCTCCGCCTCGATGTGAGTCAGCTGACAAAACAAAAACATTAGTTGGATCACATGAGCTGTGACGAGCTGTCAATCAGAGCGCGGCGGTCCGATTTCATCAGATTCACTGAATGAAACTCAGGCGGAGTCCAGGAGCTGCAGGAACATCTGCTCATTTTCATCTGGAGTCCCGCTGGACACAACCGTACGGTAAAAAAAGGCACGGTGATGCTCAGCAATAACACACGAGGTCAAATTTAAATACGTTTGTGCGTCACCTCTTCTGTCAGACTCCGGTTGTTTTGCAGCCGTTGGTTCTGATCGTTCAGAGGCAGAGAAGAAGAAGTCGAGTGAAGCGTCACTTCCTGTCTCTGGGACACACCTGGTTTACCTGCTGCACCTGTCTGCTGCTGGACGACGGAGGGCCGGCAACAGAAGCTGACAAACCGGGAGGGAGAGAGAGTTGTTGGACAGCGTGCTGACAAACAAACAAACAAACAAACAAACACACCTGTCTGTGAGGACGTGTCGTAAACAAGTCCGTCGCTGAGCTGCGATTTCTGGTGTCGAATTACAAACGACAGGAAGTTTCCAACACGTCTGAGGAACCGTCTTCATGTTTGTTTGTTTGTTTGTTGCATGTTTGAGGTAAACACATTGTCAAGATAACTCGTTGCTCAGAACGGTCCCAGAGTTGATTTTAAATCAGACAAATGGATCCGTTTCCCCAGAACTCATGCCCAGGTGAAGTCAAATGTTCTCACCAAAGATCAACAACTTCAGACGGCCGTCGACAAACTTCTACAGGCAAAGACCTTGTTTAACTTTGACCTTGATCTGTGACCTTGACTTTAAAGACGGGGTGATGAAAAGTATGCACGGCGCTCCGTCCAGTGACGATGCAGAGGTGTATGAAGTTCGGTAAATTATCTTGAGCGGATCAGAAGTTTACATACAGACGTCACCAGACGTCCACCTCTTTACGGTGAAGAATAAAACCTCGTCCAGGCGGTGATCTCGTCTCAGACGGACTCGACGCTGCACGAGATTTACTCGTTTCATCACAGAACTGTATATCTTGACCTTGGTGGAGCCAAAGTGAAACAGGAAGTGACATCAAAGGGGAACTTCCTGGCCTGATTCTTCATCTCTGAAGAATCAGATTCATCTCTGTTGTTAGCCATCGTAGCTACGCTCTGCTCCCCTTTGTCGCCACTTCCTGTTGCTGACATCACTTCCTGTCACTGCACACAAGAGTCTCTCAACAACTGTTCATCTCAGCGGTGTGAAATTTTATTAATGTCTTTACAAAAACATGTTTGTATTTAATATGAAAGTTTGACGTCAGAGTAAAGTTTTCAAAGATCCGCTCTCTCCTCCAGAAGAAGTCGACCCGCCTGAGGTCCACTCTGACGGTTCTGACGTAACGTTTCCTCCAACATGTTTTAATTTGTAGCAACAGCAGAGCGCCGCCCTGAGGGACAGCTGAGAGCCAGCTGAGAGCCAGGAGAATGTTTGGAGAACATTTAGAAAACAATTGGAGAACATTTGGAGAAAGTTTAGAGAATGTTTAGAGAATGTTCGTAGAACGTTTGGAGAATGTTCTTAGAATGTTTGGAGAATGTTTGGAGAACGTTTGGAGAATGTTTCGTAGAATGTTTGGAGAACATTTGGAGAATGTTTGGAGAAAGTTTAGAGAATGTTTGGAGAATTTTCGTAGAACATTTGGAGAATGTTTGGATAAAGGTTGGAGAATGTTTCGTAGAATGTTTGGAGAACGTTCGGAGAACGTTTCAGACCTAACATCTCCAGAAGTCGCAGCAGAGGCAGATTATTTTCAGGTAAAACTCAGAAACGAGACATTTTAAAAAAAGGTTTCAATGACGTTTGTTTTCGGACCCGTCTGACCCGGTTATGTCTCTGCCAGAACTGATCCTCACACTCATCCGATTCATCCGACCCGACTGGGTTTCAGTCCCCTCTGCAGACACCAACATCCTGAGCTGCACTGTGGTGAAGAGGTTCATTAATCCTGGACCAGTTCTGCTTCAGAACTCTGAGCCCAGACGTCCGCGCAGTACCGAGGAGGACAAGCAGATCCGGATCAGGTGGTCTGACCCGGACAGATCCGTTTACCTGTGCTCTCTGCTGTCCGTCTCTTCCTGAATCTTAGAGAGATGTCGAGTTCCCATCCTGCTCTGAAAACAAACAAACACACACACACGCACGCACGCACACACACACACACACACACACACACACACACACAGGATAACATGTCAGTTAATTACATGTTCTCTGAGGACGAGGACGGTTTCACCTTACGACTGTTGCCACAGCAACAGGAGACACCTGCCCATCAGCCTCTGGGCTGACAGACGACACCACGTGCACGCACACGCACGCACACACACACAGCTGAGTGAGGTTTGTCAGCCGTGGCGTTTGGACGGTTCTGGTTTTGTTTTGTTCTGATTCATGAAATCGGGCCGGCAGAATAAAATGAATGTTCTGCTGAACGTCTCAGAAGAACCATCACGTCTGAGAACTTGATGCCTTTGAAGTGCTGCAAGAAAGAAAACCCGACTAGATTCTGGTACCAGTCCTTCCAGTCATCCGTCTGTCTGTTAGCAAAATATCTCTGAACCAGTGCGTGGATGTGAATGAAGCTTTTACAACTGAATAACCAATAATATTTATATTTTTAACTTGTTTACGATTTTAACTTCCTTTTACCGTTTTTAGAATCACATTTACATTTAATTCAATAAAAAAATTGGGATTATTTTCTCATTAGGATTACTTTAGTTTTACTCTTTAATTATTATGATTTTAAATTCTTTAAACATGATGACGTTAACTCAAAATATAACTTTTATTTAGTTAGAAAAGTTCAACATTGCTTCTTTAGTTTTTCCATGAAAATGACTTAATTCTAGTAAAACAGCTGTAACGTTAGCGGCTTCTGATCAGAAATCATCCCTCGGCTGATTTCTGATCAGAAATCATCCCTCGGCTGATTTGTGCATAAATTACGAACGGTACTTACAGCTGCCGTCCTCGAGGCGCTCGCTCTGCGTCCGTCCTGAAACTGAGCCTCCGTCTGCAGCAGAGACTCGTTGGTGAGGAGCTTGTGTCGAATCGCTTCACCTGAATTAGTCATCAGTCTGGGAGCCACAACTCACCTGAGAGGTGACATCATCACTCACCTGAGAGGTGAGGCAGCTGAGGTTGATCATCTGATCAGGACGCCTCCTTTTGGAAGTTTTCTGGGCATGGTCCACGAGGAGAAGCACCCGGAGCAGACCCAGAACTCTCTGGAGGGATTATAGGTCCTCTCTGGTCTGGGAACACCTCGGGGTCCTCCAGGAGGAGCAGGAGCGTCTCTGGAGAGGAGGTGGTCTGGGTTTCTCTCCTGGACCTGGTGTCTTTGCACCCTGGCTACAGACAGGCGATAGAAGATGAAGACATTTCTTCTGCAGCATCCACCACCTTCGTCTGTGAACCTCCTCATCCTCCCTCCACACGAGGACAGGATTAAAAACAGGAATCTGATGTTCTGACTGGATCCATCTACCGGATCACGAGTCAGTCCCCCCGTCGTTGGTTCGTGCTTTAAACAGAACAGAAACACGTTTTTTTGGTGATACAGTGGATTTTTATGAAACAGGAAATAAAACACGTTGTTCACTTATACTTACCGTTCCCTTTAAGTCTGGTTCTGTTCCCAGACGAGTGTTTCGCTGCTGGACCCGTCTGTCCATGTTCGGTACAACTGGGCCCACCGGACCTGAGCACTCCTAACGCAGCGGCTCGTGTGGCGTTCCACCGAGGAATGCTAAACGAGCTGACAGAGTTCATTAATGTTCAGAAAAACCCGGTTCCAGGAACACGACCGTGGTGGACTCCTGAGCAGAAGTGAACAAAGCTCCCAGCAGGTTTCCACAGATAAAGTCCATCATGAACTGATCCACCTGCGCTCACTGGAGGTGAAGGTTTCTGACAAGTGGAAAAACCTCAACATCCCAGAAAAGAGTGAAGGAGGTTCTACTGAGATGATCCAAAGACCCAAAGGAGCCGTGAAGATCAAGGACGACTCCTTAGACACAGATGGTTTATATTTAATTTGCTCTTTAATTATTTTTCATTTGATTTAATCAGTTTCTCAGTTACAAAATTTAAAGACCAATATTCCAAGTCGTTTTCATGCATTCAGGTTTTAAAAACCTCTTCAGTCTTTTTGATGAACGACTTTGTAGTAAATAAAACAACAAACCGCTGAGCTTCATGAGTTCAATTACCCACAATGCCTCGGAGCATCTTCTTCTCAGAACAACTCAAAGTTTATAAGAATAAAGAGAAAGGAAAGTCTTAATGTGTTGCTAATTTGTTGTTTTACATACAACCCAGCAAAGCAACACAAAATAAACTTCACCGCATCAAGGAGAGATGTCTACTTTCACTGCCACTCAGTTCTTCTTCTACGAAGAAAAAAATGTGTTTGTGGTTCAAAAAAATCAAAACCAGTCCAGGAATACGTTCAGTCTCTGTCTGCGGCACAGAATGAAGATTTCTGTTGGACAAAATCTTATCTCGTTTGTCTGGGGGACGTCTACGGGTCAGAACAGCGTCTGTAGAAGTTGAAGTGGTAATCTGTGAAGAGCGCCCCCGCGTAGTGATGGTCCGTACTGCAGTCTGCCTGACCCTGAAGCCAAACGAGACCAAATCAAAACATTTTAACCACTAAAATCAGTACCCATCACGAAATATCCAGTTAAAATCAGTGTCAATCACTAAATATTCAGTTAAAATCTGTATCAATCACTAAATATTCAGTTAAAATCTGTTTCATCACTAAATATTGAGTTAAAATCAGTGTCAATCACTAAATATTCAGTTAAAATCTGTATCAATCACTAAATATTGAGTTAAAATCTGTATCAATCACTAAATATTCAGTTAAAATCCATTTCATCACTAAATATTGAGTTAAAATCTGTATCAATCACTAAATATTGAGTTAAAATCAGTGTCAATCACTAAATATTCAGTTAAAATCTGTATCAATCACTAAATATTGAGTTAAAATCTGTATCAATCACTAAATATTCAGTTAAAATCTGTATCAATCACTAAATATTCAGTTAAAATCTGTTTCATCACTAAATATTGAGTTAAAATCTGTATCAATCACTAAATATTGAGTTAAAATCAGTGTCAATCACTAAATATTCAGTTAAAATCTGTATCAATCACTAAATATTGAGTTAAAATCTGTATCAATCACTAAATATTCAGTTAAAATCTGTATCAATCACTAAATATTCAGTTAAAATCCGTTTCATCACTAAATATTCAGTTAAAATCTGTATCAATCACTAAATATTGAGTTAAAATCAGTGTCAATCACTAAATATTCAGTTAAAATCTGTATCAATCACTAAATATTCAGTTAAAATCCATTTCATCACTAAATATTGAGTTAAAATCTGTATCAATCACTAAATATTGAGTTAAAATCAGTGTCAATCACTAAATATTCAGTTAAAATCTGTATCAATCACTAAATATTGAGTTAAAATCTGTATCAATCACTAAATATTCAGTTAAAATCTGTATCAATCACTAAATATTCAGTTAAAATCTGTTTCATCACTAAATATTGAGTTAAAATCAGTGTCAATCAATAAATATTGAGTTAAAATCAGTGTCAATCACTAAATATTAAGTTAAAATCGGTTTCATCACTAAATATTGAGTTAAAATCAGTGTCAATCACTAAATAGTCAGTTCAAATGAGTTTACATCATTAAATATTTAGTTAAAATCAGTGTCAATCACTAAATATTGAGTTAAAATCAGTGTCAATCACTAAATATTGAGTTAAAATCAGTGTCAATCAATAAATATTGAGTTAAAATCAGTGTCAATCAATAAATATTAAGTTAAAATCAGTGTCAATCAATAAATATTAAGTTAAAATCAGTGTCAATCACTAAATAGTCAGTTCAAATGAGTTTACATCATTAAATATTTAGTTAAAATCAGTGTCAATCACTAAATATTGAGTTAAAATCAGTGTTGATCACTAAATATTGAGTTAAAATCAGTGTCAATCACTAAATATTGAGTTAAAATCAGTGTCAATCACTAAATATTGAGTTAAAATCAGTGTCAATCACTAAATATTGAGTTAAAATCAGTGTTGATCACGAAATATTGAGTTAAAATCAGTGTCAATTACTAAATATTCATTTAAAATCAGTGTCAATTACTAAATATTCATTTAAAATCAGTTTACGTCACTACATATTATGTTAAAATCAGTTTCAATCACTAAATATTCAGTGGTTTTACGTGTTTAAATGGATTTTACGAACATTTTGTTTTTAAAGTGCAATTTGTCAGTTTCTGTTTCACATTCTAATTTTCTTTAAAATAAATTCCTCTTAATTCACCCTTGACTCTTCTGTTAATGATAATTAAGAGCTAAAGTGTGTTTAAGTGATCAAAGAAGAAAAATAAATCAACGCTTACAGCCACCGCAGAGCGAAAGTGATAGAAGCTGCGATAAAGACGAGCCACGTGAAGAGGCCACTCATGTTCCCCCTGAAGAAACACAACATCCAATAATTAATTATTATTAATACTCTAATTATTTTGGTTATTTAAAATATATACTGTAGATGATGCTTGATATTAATCTGAAGTTTCATTAATCTCAACTGATGTCAAAACATACAACTGTTTTCATTTCAAGGAAATAATTCAAACATATCATTTAAATTTTAAATGGACTTGATTTTCTTGGGTGAGCAGCTGTAAATGTATTCACCTGTGTATTTGATGGGTACCTGCTTCCAGTGAGCACATTTTTATCCAGCAGAGACGAGCAGGTGGTGGACTCATCTAAACCACACAGATGGACCACCACCAGCTCCGTAGAGCTGAAAACACGTGAAAAGAAATGTTACGACATGTTTTTAACAAGTTTCTGTAGAGCTAATCCCAACCGTTGTTTTGATACGTCATTAAACTTTAATTTTGATTTACCTTTACAAAGGTAACGAGCTAAAGTGCAAAGAAACATTATTTACTACAAAACTAATAAACAAATGGCTTCTTTGAGAATTTATAAAACAATCTTTATTACAAAGCTAACGAGCTAACAGCTGTTCAGTTATTAAGCATTGTTCTTCTCAACGCTAACAAGCTAACGGCTGTTTTAAAAACTTTATTACAAAGCTAACGGCTGTTTCAAAAAACTATAAAAATCTTTATTACAAAGCTAACGAGCTAACAGCTGTTCAGTTATTAAGCATTGTTCTCTTCAACGCTAACAAGCTAACGGCTGTTTTAAAAATTTTATTACAAAGCTAACGAGCTAACGGCTGTTTCAAAAAACTATAAAACAATCTTTATTACAAAGCTAACGAGCTAACGGCTGTTCAGTTATTAAGCATTGTTCTCTTTAACGCTAACAAGCTAACGGCTGTTTTAAAAACTTTATTACAAAGCTAACGAGCTAATGGCTGTTTAAAAAACTTTATTACAAAGCTAACGAGCTAACGGCTGTTTTAAAAACTTTATTACAAAGCTAACGAGCTAACGGCTGTTTCAAAAAACTTTAAAAACTTTATTACAAAGCTAACGAGCTAACAGCTGTTCAGTTATTAAGCATTGTTCTCTTCAACGCTAACAAGCTAACGGCTGTTTTAAAAACTTTATTACAAAGCTAACGAGCTAACGGCTGTTTTAAAAACTTTATTACAAAGCTAACAAGCTAACGGCTGTTTTAAAAACTTTATTACAAAGCTAACGAGCTAACGGCTGTTTTAAAAAACTATAAAACTATCTTTAGTACAAAGCTAACAAGTTAAATGTTGTTTTAAATAAGATAATAGTCAGCTACGTTAGCAACCAAAGGGTTGTTTTGAACATACAGATTTTACCTCCTTTATTTTTGTTTATTCAACATGTTTGTTGTTGATTTGTGTTTGTTTGAAGTCACTTCTTACTTCATGAGCAGGGTGACTCTCATGTTGACCGGAACAAACCGGCTGACAGGAACCCTAAAGACGTACCGTTCAGGTCTGCGGAAACAAACGTTTCGTTAAGCATGTCCACTTGTTTTAAATCCAAACGTCTTACAATTCAGAAGACATCTTTGCTCGAGTAGCCTTAGTGTTTCTTGTCTCGTTGTTAATGTGCTGCGTGAGGAACTGTGTTTCGTTCCTAAAATCTACACCTTACATCACAAGCTTGCAGATAAACATTTCTTTTACTCTACTTACCCACATTCGTCTCTCAGGCAGTACTTGCTGTCGATGACCTGCTGATTCTCTTTAATCATGAAAGTATGGATGGTGGTGTTTGTCCCTGACGAAAAGTCAAGTTTGAAACAATAAAGATGTTTGTTTTTTAACGTTAAGAGACTTCAGTGAATGAGCTGTCAAAGTTAAGACTCACAGTCTCTGGCACTTTTCAGGTGGTGCTGAAGTTTCTTTGTTCTTGTACCTGCAGAACAAAAACATCAAGCGTGAACTAAATGGTACAAAAATGTCCAGCTGTTACAAAAAGACACAAACCGGCTGAAAACACATGAAATAATTTATTTAAAGGACCGGTTCATTATTTGAATCTGTTTTTGTGTTTATCCAGTCGAGCCAACGAGTCGCTGTCGTTACCTGTGGCGTCAGGTTTGTTTGCTGATTTGGTGGAGGTGACGTTGTAGATGGTGCTGCCCTCTGCAGGTGAGGGGCAGCAGTACACCTGGTCGCAGTAGAGCAGGTCACAGAAGTCCACGTCAGGAGGCCAAGAACCAGGAGGCCTGACCGAAAAGACTGGAGGAGGCAACAAAAGAGCTTTAAAGCCTGGCTTGTTTATTTATCTCTTGCTGCTAATATTCATAAAAATGAGTCCCATGATGTGAAAGTTACAACACAAGTCAGCAGAATTAAGGGTAACAATATTTTACTGGCTGTGCCTTTCTAGACTGGTGTATTTACATAAATGTTGGTGATAATCATTTTTATGATCCTCACTACAGATAACCCACAAATCCAGATCCACTGAGAAAAACAAGTGAAGCTGGTGGTGGAGAATAATCTGAGCAGCTGCTGTTCACGACGACTGCAGCAACGACTTCAGTCTGATCCTTACGAATGCAGCACAAAAACAAGGAAACTGCAGTTTGGCTGATTATTTCTTTGTTGTAACAATTCTTCCTGGCAGTAACTCTTATGATGTTTATTTACCGTAAACGGCGCCACATTTGTTGTGAAATTGCATCTGTGTGTTGAGCAGCAGACATGTTGGTATGAGAACTCCTCTGCCTTGTGCACACGCAGCTGTGTGACTAAGCTGGTGGGCAGCATGAAGAGGAGGTGCCAGGCTGTTGTGGCTGTGTATGGTTCTTCCACATGCTACTGAGGCCACTGCTTGTTAAATAGATTGTTAAACTGCCAATATAACTGGTTTCTTTAGAGTTCAATCATTTACTGTATACAATAAGCAACAATAAACAACAAACCTGAGTATGTAGCACAAAAGGTTTGGCTATTTTTTCATGACGCGCCAACAACTCTGCTGCTCGACCCAGAAAGGGTTTCGCCTTCCATCCAGAAGGCTTCATCAGTCAAGGAAACGCACAACAAAACTGATTCTTCCCCCAACAGCTTACTCCAAAGTGGAACAAACCAGTTATGTTGGTGCTAAGATGGTCTCTTTGGTACGCCCCCTCCTCTATTGCCAGCCCTCTTCCTTGTTGACAGTCGTGTCAAACTGGTTGAAAACAACAAAGTCCATGCTCAATAATCCAGGTATAAAATCCAACATTTTTCAGTCAGGTCATCTGGACAGTTTCTTTTTTTGTGCTGAAACGTTTCGCCTTCGATACGTCATCTTAGCACCAACAAAACTGGTTTGTTCCACTTTGGAGTAAGCTGTTGGGGGAAGAATCAGTTCTGTTGTGTTTCCTTGACTGATGAAGCCTTCTGGATGGAAGGCGAAACATTTCAGCACAAAAAAAGAAACTGTCCAGATGACCTGACTGAAAAATGTTAATCTCGTGATTCATTATAAAACAGTCATTTAATTTTATAATATATAACTTTACAGCAATGAAACAGATAAGTTTATTTAAATATTGTAAAACATCAAAACAAAACCTGTAGACAGAACGACACCCTCTGAAACGACGTTACTGTTCGTTGTGCAGTTTGTAAAGTACCGTGAAGGTACGCCGCAACACCAACCGGCTTTCACCTGAGTCTGTTAGTAAAATATCTCATTAACCAGTAGAAGGAATTTAATGGAACCTTTAGGAATCACTGGATGGACGTCTACAACGGTCAGCACATTTCAAAATGGCCGAGTCAGTTTTACAGACACGCAGCTAAACTTTGTTCTGATCGCAGCCGAGTGCACGACGCTTTGAGCGGATCGAGAGAGATCGCTCTTAAGAGTTACGAGAAAAGTGGCCGAAACATTTTTTTTACGCCATTTCTCAACAAAAGCCGGTTTTGTTTGAGAACTCGGACCGCAGGAGGCCTTTCGTGTTTCCATGAGAAATGGAAAATGAAGAATTGTATCCATTTATCCTGAGCGGTGATTAAAATAACGTTACAATGTGTTTTCAGCTCCGCCCGTCTGTTCCTTCGAACAACTCCTGCTGATTCAAACCTCCGTGCTCACTGAACTCTGGGGGTTACCTGTGCTGGTTGGCGCCGTCGTCGGTGCAGGAAACTCGCTGCTGTTGATAAAAGACAGAAACTAAATTCAGTATAAACGGTTGTCAAGGCAACCACAGAAATAGTTACCGTAATTTCCGGTCTATAGACCGCTTCTTTATTCACATGCTTTAAACCCCACGGCTTATAAACGTCCACATTTTTATTCAACTTTTATTTAGTGTGCGCTGCTTTTACTCAGGTGCTTTATAGTCCAGAAATTACTGTATTTATTTAAATGTCTATGTTAAAGTCCAAGCAACGCTGTCAAGTTTGTCTGTGCATTGTTTGAATACACGAGTTTATAAAAGGTGTTTCCTACAGTAGAACAATAGACGATGTTCACCTGTTTTCTAGAGAGGTGTCAGCGTCTGCCTCCTTCAGAATCACCAGGTAAAGAGCTGAGATGGAGATCAAACTGCACATACATAAAACAACTAAAGTTTGGAAAGACTTCGTTTTTTATTTTCATGTAAAGAAGCAGGAGCTTGCACAGCATCCCTCACCACAAGGCCACGGTGAGCAGCAGGGTGAAGACGCCGGCCTGCAGCAGTTTATTCTGCAGACACCGTCTGTATTTCTGAGCCGTCTGGTGAACTCTCCCGGGCTTGCAGGACTCTGGACCGGACGTTGTGGACACACTGGGGTGTCTCTGAGTCTTCCTGTTAGAGGGAACAAGACGTTATCAGTGAGAGTCACCGGGAGAAGTTTCCATTCACCGTGAGCTTAAACATCTGAATTAATTTACCGGTAGGTCTTTAGTGATTTATTTGAACTGTTTCCAGAACAGTTCTTCGGCGGTTTAACGATAAAACCTAATCACTTTACAGATTTTAGGGTCAGTTGTTTTCTTTGTCAAACTAATCCGGATCAACACAGAAGTCAAAGACAGGTACCCAGTGGAGCGAAGGCTGCCCGTCAGGCTCTTCAGCTTGGCGAGTCGCCGGTTCCAGACCTCCAGCTCTTGGATCCGAGTTTCGAGGTTGTCGGTGAGCTTTGACAACTGTTGGACGGCCCCGATGTTCTCCATAAAGATCTGCTCCTGGAGGGGGAGCAGAACGCTGTTACGAACAGGTGAAAACAGCAACGCCTCCAGGAAAACACATAACGAGAAACGCCGAGCGTCAACTTCGCTCCGAACAACAGAACGCGTTCACACACCAGAACCCGCCTCGTTTTCAGGTGCGTTCCACATCCACGGTTCTGGATCGACCTGTTGTCACCGCACCGTTCTGCTCTCTCCAGCTTGAAGTCTTCGTTTTGTCTCCACCATCTCCAGGGGCCCTGCTGGTGTGGTGATGGTCTGTGGTGGCCCCACTGGGCACAGCACCACTACGCGCACTTCTCTAGAAGACACCTAAGCAACAGCCTGAAGGGACTCGTAGCCGAGATCTCCAGGATCAGGCGAGGCTCGTCGCTTTAGCTGAGTTTAATTCTTGAATGATTGGGGGAGATCGTCTTGTTGTTTTGCTTCTCACTGGCTGTAGGTGTCTTGAAGGAACGTCTTCTCTAAAGACACCCACGGGTGCTAAACGTTTGTATGAAGCAGTTTTCACTGGACTTGTTGAGCGCTCAGCTTGACAACACATGTTCTCTGCTCTTGTCTGTTATTATCTGGTTCTGGTGGCCCGTTGTTCTTCAGCGTGACCCGGTCCACCAACTTGTCACAAGCCATAATGGCTTCAGTTACTTTTGATAAGTGAGACGAAGAGGTCGCTCCAGGCTTCCTTTGAGCAGGATCTTCTGATCCTCTGTTGACGAGCAGAACTTTAGTGTCCGTTATGTTTCTGGAGTCAAATCTGAGAGGTGAAGATTTTTGAGTTGTTGACAAAAACTACCAGGTAAAAATGAATAAAACTAAACTAAACCTGCCTTTTAAACCATTACAGCTGGTTCTGAATTAGGATTTTTACTCAAACACGTTAAGGAACCGGAGCTGAGAAGGCCGATGAGTAAACTACCTTGTCCACCATGAGGAGGTTCTGGATCCGTTCTCCGTCTGAACAGACGACATCGCCAACCTCCTTGACAGCAGACGGCAGCAGCTCCTTCACCTCCTGAGCGATTACTCCTAAAACATCACAAATCGTTAGCGTTGAGCTCAGAAGTGACATGGTCAGCTCCAGCTGTGAGAGCAGCACCTGTCTGATGGGTTCGGTCTATTCCAGCAGCGGAGGCAAACTCCGGTTTGTAATCGAACTCGACGATCCTCATCTGAGTGATCCTCTTGAGCTGCTGCTCAGAGTCCGCCTGACAGACACAAATAAACATTAGAAGCCTCAGCATCTTTATTTATATAGAACATTTCAGTAACTCAAAGCGCCGAAGAACAATAAAAGCATAATAAAAAATAAAAAGGTAAAACTACAGACGCTTAAAGAACGAACATATAAAATAAAACAAGCTCTGATTCAGAACTGAAATCAAATAGAGGAATATGAAAACAGCATCAAGTTTATATCAAAGGCAGCAGCGAATAAGACGGTCTTTGAAGCAGGTTTTCCTCCTCCAAATCAAAGGATTATTATTTTCTGGTCATACCTCCTGAATGTTCTGCTTGGCGCGGCAGTCAGATGGTTGAATGATGGCACCCATCACCTTAGCGTTACCACAAACCACCAGAGCCTCATCAGGAGAGTCGGTGTTGACGCCAACCCGACCCTGACAGACCACAGCTTCCTGCGTCGCCCCTCGCTGCCACATGGCGTCATTATCCGACTCGAACTGACCAGGGTTGGAGGCCTTCAGGAGGGAGACGTTAACGGTTTGTTCTGGTCTCTGACTTGGCTGATCGTTAATAGATGATGGTGTGAAAACAGTTTTTACCCTGACGATGATCCTCTCAGACACCAGAGCAGCAAGAAGGAAGGTCTCCTCTCTGACAGCAGCATAGAGACCCACCGCCATCTGAAAATACCTGCAGAAACACACGGTTAGCATGTAGCTCAGCTGATCTTCAGCCTCTTCTCCGTGTATTCACTCGTGTACCTCTGGTCAGGGTTGGGTTTGCCTTTCTTCCTCATGTTGTTGGCTGTTGTCTCACTGAAGTGCAGTCGGCCGAGTGTTACTTTGGTTATTTTGCCAGCTGACAAACTGACCCTGGAGGTTCAAAATTTAGTGTTTTTAAATCTGTGGTTTTCTGCTTTGGATCTTTTTATAAACAGATAAACAAATCCTGAACACGGTTTCTACCTGTACACACAAACTTATTTTTAACTTGACTAGCTCGATGTAAAGACTCCCCAGTTTAGGTTTAAACAGAGTAAAAATTTTAAAAGATCATTTTAGTTTATCGTAGAAAATAGTTTGTTATTAAAACACCTTCAAGGTTTTAGGTTTCAAGTAAGGCAATCAATGATGACAAGACTTAAAAAATCTAAATAAAACAGCAGGTTCAGCTAGCTCTTCAGCAAGCTAAAGCTAATTCACGACTAGCTGTGAAGCTAGTTAAAGCTAGATTATGAGCTAGCGAAAGCTAATTTAGAACTAGGTCTTTAGGGACTTAAAGCTATTTTATAGTTTGACAACAAGTCAGAAATAGTCAAAACAAGGTTTGAGAACCAGTGATTTACACAACGGTTCAGTGGCCCTGTTCTCCCTCCACATCAACACTGTGCACATCTCATTAGTGACCGTCTCACATTAGCATCATGGCTGCAGGAGTACACTACACCTCCAAAACATCTACAGCGACTGCTGGCCTGTGGCGCTGGTACCTGACGGGGTGGAAGGGCTTCTTGGTGCGGTCGGGCTGAGACTGCTCGATGGTCACCTGCTGGCTGGGAGACTCGAGCTGCAAAAAGACACAGGTTTGGAGTTAACTGAGAGCTGACTGGTCAACAAGCCAACGTCTGAATGATCGCACTGATTCACTGTCCATTTTGAATCAAACCACCTGATTCTGGGTACAGTCTGGAGTAATTTCAAGCAAACCGTCTGCTGTTATTATCTACGTGATGATCTATTCTGTGACGTGTAGCTATCAACAAAATGGAGTCTGGTTTAAGCCAGAATCCCACTAAGCTGCGTTGGAGACTCCAAACTGTGAGAAAATTAACAAACAAGGCCCATTTTCAGTTTTGGTCTCTGAATTCTGAGTTTGTGACCAGTGACCCATGAGGCTGTTCAGTGCATCCAGTTTTCAAGTTGCAGATCATTTTAATTATTGCCCAGCTCTGCCTAAAACTTTGTAAACACACGGGCAGCCGCCACCTTCTTTATGAATTCATCGACTAGACCTTCAAAATGAGGACAGGCAGATTTGGACCAGTTTTTAAAACAACTGTTTATGTTCAGCATGGATGTTTTTCAATCTGGACATTCTGAGCGTTAGATATTTTCAGAGTCAAGCAGAGCTCTGGTGCTCTGGAACTACGTTCAGACAGCTTCAAGACAAATCTAAGTGCCTGTGACACAATTGAAAAGGGTTCGAGATCATTATGCCCGTGAGAAAACCGAGAAAGGTTAGAGACAAGTTTGAGATGCATGTGACAAAACTGAGAAGGGTTGGAGACAGGTTGGAGACAATTGCCACAAAGCTGAGGATTGGAGACGCCTACAATAAAATTAAGAAGAGTTTGAGACGAGTTTGAGACGCCTTCAAATAAACTGAGAAGGGTTTGAGACAGACTGAAGCCGTCTGCAGGAAAACTGAGAAGGTGTGATGAGTTTGATGTGCCTGCAGCTACACTGAAAGGGTTTGAAACACTCGTGACAAGACACGATTTGAGATGCTTGTGGCAACCGAGCAACTATTTTAAGAGAAAATTTGTTGCAGTTTTTGAATGTGTTCAAAATTTAAGCCTGAAGATCCTCTGGGACTCATTTAAGGAAAGTGAGGACCACTTCAAACATTTCAAAGACTCCCTTAGTAATCTGAAAAATAATCTCACACAGTTGCGTCCCAGTGAGACACGGCCTTCAGACTACGCACCTTAACTCCAAACACATTTAACTGGAAGTGATCGACTTCCTGTGGCCCATGTGGCGTTCTGACAAAGCGTGGCTCCGCAGTCACACCAATGTGAACGGTGACCTGAAAGTGGTTCTTCTTCTGGCAAATGAAAGCTTCGTCAGTGGGGGAGTAGTTGAAGCCCTTATCAGTATCGATGTGGTAGGCAGGAGGCGACCTGAAACACAGAATGTCTCTCAGTGATCTTTACACCATGTCCACAACAGATCAAACACGCTCGTGTGTTTGGATGTAGACTCACAGTGTTTCGTAGCTACTGTTGCACAACGTGCTCCAGCGTTCTGCTCGGTAGGGTTCCCATGTCAGCAGCTGGGACGAGCCCAGACCCAGTCCGTTCCCAGTGTTCCCTGCACTGCGAGTCCCCTCACCGTCGCAACACGATGTCTCGACTGCAGACGGTTCCTCAGACTCAGACCACCGTCTTTTCTTACTGTCCTGGGAGCTGATGAAAGTCACACACTCTGAGGTCAAAGTGTAAAATCTTTTGTGATAACTTTGAACTCGTACAGTTTAAAGAAAGTCTGTGGAAAGTTCATTTGATTAATTTAAATGAGTTCATTCTGTGGTACTTTTGGAACTAAATCTTTCCAAGTTGATATACACACAAGACCCTGAACTGCTTTGATAAACTTTAGTTTTATGCTTGTAAATATCAACAAGACATTTTATTGAATGTCACAACTAAAAAAAACAATGAACATCAGAATTTAAAGAGCAGCTGTTTCATTTAATCCCACTGAGTTGGACGACTCAAACACTCAGAATATGCTCTAATGTTATTTTTCTCTGTGTTTGTATCTAATTTGATTATTACCCCCGTGTTCAGTCTAATGACTCTTTATAAAAAGGTTTCCATTTTTACATCTCTACTGGTCTAATGTTTTTAATGGACTTTACTTTTATAGTTTTCTATCCAACCAGGAGACTGAAACTCTTTAGGACGGTCTGTGCTCTCTCGTCAGAGGACGACTGTTCTAACCACTCAGCCAGAGCCACCCATGATGGAGTTAGAAAGTGTTCTCACCTGGTGTGTAGTGTGGAGGAGGAGCCCTGCAGACAATTTGAAGTTGGTGAGAGGACATTTGTGACCGGGCCAGAGATGGAAGAAACGTAGGTACTGGAGGGGGGTAAGGCTGGAGAGGGGGGTGTAGGTGGAGTGTAACCTTGAAAACAGCTCTCTGGATTTAAGTAGTGTTCAGTTAAGTGACGTGTATCCTGATTAAGGGGACCAGGGAGGACTTGTGGGGCAGGTGGACTACCAGACTTGATGAAAGTGTTTGTGACGCCCACATTGTGAAGCTGTTCATGGGGCAGTGGGCCTGACTGGGAGGGGGCAGAGCCTCCGTCTTTGAATCGACAAGACAAAGGTCGCGTCAGCACATCTGACGTTGCAGGGGCGGAGCCTTGATTCCTAAAGTGACAGGATGCAGACCGGGTTGTTGGTTGAAAGCCCTCCAGTCGTGCGGACCAGCAGCCACGCTCATGTCCAAAATCTGCAAATTAGAGAATATGTTCACTCAGAACCTCTCAGTGCTTCACTACAGGGCTCTGTCGAGTTACTTGTAGTGACATCATCTTAGATTTGTCACAAACAATCATCAGATTAATTCAGCTTGTGGGCAACATGGAGGCTAAAACAAGTTGGGGATAATTTAAACAATTACAAAATAATTTGATAAAACTATGAAAACTGTCATTGACAGCTGGGACATTTATTTGAACAATCGTATAGTTTCACATGATGTGGGCAGCATACGTTGGTTATCTCTATGGCAGAAAAAGGACAAACACTAAACTCTCAAACAGACGCCGTGTTCACACATGAGCATATTTTTATGGCTCTGGTCAACATCCGGACTCTAAGAAAGGTTTGAACGCTGTGACGAACTCACTAACAATAACACTTGTTTTTTATTAACACTTATTAGTTCTTATGGGAAGATGGTTAACGTTCTTTCAACTTTATAGAAAAGAAAAGGAACAAGCTTTGGCCGTTTCTGTGGCTTCTGCTCGCATTGTAGGTCAAACATTCACTTTAGACGTATAAAGAACAAACCACATGAAATCTAACTTGAGCCTCATCAAATATATTAAATCTAGGGACATTTAATAAAGTGACAAACTGTGTTTCTGTGTCCACGTGCGCCTTGGAACAAAGAATCAGGTAGGAGTCAAACGGAGATGCTACAGTCTGGAAACGTGAAACAGCGTTTGCTGCTGGACGCAGTGGGTGGTGGTGGGTCAGTGGTACCTGGTATCTGTGGAGGTGAACAGGCCTCTGAGCTGGAATCAGGAGGCGACTCTGGGAGCATGCTGGTAAAGAAAAACAATAAAACAACATGATATGGGTTTGATATTTTATTTAAGAATGCAGTTTTCTGAAATGTTGGACCTGCAGGAAGCCTCCTGTGTGAGCCGTACTGGTATTTAACTTTATAAGTAGGATCCATTTGAACAACGATATGTTCCATACGGTTCAGTCTAAAACTCATATTTTCCAGTTATCTCTATGGCAGTAGTAAAAGCCAACCTCATACAGACATCGTCTTCAAATAATGAAGATTTCTCTGAAACGCTGGCCTTGGCCAACCATAACACTGATAATCACTTCAGACACTTCTGTTACATTTACATTTATCACTTGTCTGATAAGTAACTGGGTTAATGTTACATTTACGGATGTTACACAACGGAGTGCGTGTGCAGATATGACACTGATGCAGAGGATTTCCCACATTAAAATTATTAGTTGTGAGTAAAGTTTGTTTACAATCCAACCTGAGTGATGCTGCTGTTCACTCTGAGCTGCGTTATTAAATATCGCTAAGTTTTGTCAGTGTAGCGTTGTGTGTCTGAGCCTTACAAGCTGCTGGGGTCCATGTCGTTACAGAGGTACTGCTCCAGGATGCTCGTATCCACGGCAACAGAACTATCCAACACACCACTAACATCCTGACCTGCACAAACATCACAATGGTTACATTCATTCAGCATAAGTTCAACAGCTTCATAAATCTCATTCTGATCGAAGCACGTTTTAAACAACAGAAGTGGTCACCAACACATGCACGTACAGATTATTTTTTTAATTCACGTGGCTTGTGTGTGGCCTGTTACACCAGGGGAAACCTTTCAGGGAGTTTAACATCTCTCCATGCAACTTTTCATGGATGTCTGGAAACTGAACTTCTAGAAGCAATACAGAAATCTGTTCTCACTCAGGAACCCGTGCATGATCTTTCTAACACCAACTGGGACCAAACAAACCTGTATTGTATAAAACCTAAACTTTTTAAACTGCAACCATTACTCCAATCCTAAATCTCCAATCTCTTTGTCCTAGGACAAGCTAGCTGAAGGCTCCCAACGACGAAGCCAACAGTACAGCAGATATGTCGCCCGTCGACAAACTGTTATACAGCGATCTACAGCAACGACCCAGACAAAGACCTTGTATAACCTTTGACCTTGATTTGGAGCTGGGGTGTTGAAAAGTGTGCGACACTCCTCGTGATGATTCAAAAGTGTTTAAAGTTTTGTTAAATGACCTTGAGCAGATCAGAAGTTATGGGCGAGTCAAAAGAAAGTTTAGAGACGGATGGACAGGTGGAGACTTGACCAAAATTTGTCCGCCTTGGACGAACATATAGAAGTGTGTTCAAGTCCTATTTTCAAGAACGGAGGTACCTTAAATAGACCTGTTATCTCGATAGGTTCTCTATGTGCCCTTTAGGTGAAAGAGTTTCTGAATGCAACACCTGGAACATTTGTAAAAGCTTCTTAAGAAACGTGAAATACCTTCAGGGCCCTGGAGTTTTCCTTAAAGACCCCTTGAACGTTTTTAAGCACCAAAACGTTCTTGCTACATGTGAAAGAGAAAGGATCTTCTCCAAAGACTAATAAAACCAAATCTGAGAACACCAAACTTTCGCACAAAGTAAAACCAAACAAACAACTTGAATTCCCTCAATGTCAAGCTTTTTATGCACCCTGAAATAATCCAAGGATTACGCTACAGGACCAGTCAAACCGTCTTAAGCTCAGCTGGTCTTCCTTTAAGAATCACTTTGAACTCTTTGACCAACAAACCCAGAACACCGACGTTAGATGCAACTATACTGGTGCTGAAATGGTCATTTTAAGAAATTTAGGACCGAACCTTCGTGTAAAACTCTGCACCCCATTCCAAAGGAACTTTCAGAGACAACTGGTCTGCTCCAACTAGAAATGTAAAGGCCACTGAATCTCTTCAGGCTTCCCTCACAGTAAAAATAAATAAATACAACGTTTCTGAAACCCATTTGTGGTCTCAGAGTCTTCAAGGGATCCAACAACATTTTGAATAAAAACCTGTAAATAAGCTAAAAAGGCACAACCAACCGTTTCTCTTCTAGCCCTCTGGAAACCTCTGAACCAACACAAACCCTTCAGACAACAAGGACCGCTTCCGTTTCTTCATGAACCTTTGGGAGCTCCTCGTGGCGTCTTCACCTTCATAAACTTCCTGACAGACCGCAGGATTCTCAGGCAATAAAAACATCTTAAACTTTCTTCTCAACATCACAAGTGACTTCAGGAGATACACAAACACCCTCAGGAGCACGGATCTCCCTCAAGTACAACTTTTATGTCTTATACCATTTTTAAACCCACTGGAATGTTGAATCTTTTTAAAGATCTAATGCTCTGGATCTTTGAAAAATGGTTCTCATCTTTGAAACCTTCCTAAAGATCACTTTAAGTTCTAAAGCTACACCTTGAATCCAAATTAGGGACCATTTTAAAACCTTTTTCTGGACCTGGACCTTTTCCAGGCTACAGTAATGAGAACGTCTTCCAACTCTCCTGGAACGTCCTTGCAGCTGACGCAAAGTGGGACAAGACTTTCTGAACCTCATCAGGGTCAGTTTGTTCAGGCACACCACACGCTGAAAGACCCCCAAACAAGCACTAAAAAGACATTTTACTTGTGTTTATTCTTCATTTCCTGAGGGCCACTGGAACATCCATCTACTCAAAGACCCTGGAAGATCTTAGAAACCTTCTTCCTCAACAGATGCTGTTATATTTGTGGTCAAGACTGAAGAAACGTCTCACCGCTGAAGAACTGCTGCAGCGCCTCGTGCTCTCCGAGGACCTGGAGCGACGGCCGGTTGGCTCCAGGATCCATTCTGCCCAGCAAGGGGCGCTGCAGAGCAGGGGCCTGGAGGAATCAGGAGAGACCCCAGCTGGAAACACACAACGGGTCGTTAACACAATATTTAAGCATTTTAAATACAAGTATTTTCAACTAAAGTACATTGAAAGTTGCATATTACCACTCTGTAAGCCAAAGTTTTAACTTTAATACAGAAAAGAGTTCAATTAAAATCTCACATGATCTGTTAGCGCTCAACTATGTGGAGTGGATGATTCTCAGCTACTACCACACCAAACTGTAGCTCAGTATCTGTAGATTAACTGAGTTATTGTTACTGTGTTAAGGTTAATTAGCTGTGTCAGCCATCTTGGATCAGTAGCATTAAGGAAACATAAACCGAGAAAGAAGTTTGCGATTTACTCTTTTATCACCAAGAACAAATGAGAGATTACATAAGAAGCTCACGGCTTCATGTGGGGATTATCTACGGGAACGGTCAGATTTATGATGCAACAAGATCGAAAGTTCAAGGTTACAATTTCTCATCAAATATTATGAAGATCTCATAAATGGTCGACTCTTCTTTGTAACCTTTAGGCGACGCAGATCCCTTTCTACGAAGTGGTTCTTGGTAAGAAGTCCTCCACAGACCCTTTTAGTTACACTTTCAGCTGCGTCTTACTTTTATGATCCACTAAGCAGGTTCTCTTTTTCTGTCAGTATCAACACTTTATGTTGCACTTTTATTACAAAACAAAAATGAGTCAATGTAAAACTTTCTAATTTGATCAGAATCAGAACATTTTACTCATCACTGTAACGAGAACAATGAAATAAAGTATTGCTGTTACAATCCCCGCATGTGACCTGGGTGTGGTCTGTAAAAATATTTGACTTTCCTGTGCAGTAGGAGCTACGCACAAAAAAAATAAAATGTTTAATTGGTTAAAAAATAATCCAAAACTACTGTTGGGTGTGCAGAATGAATTTTGTGGAAACAAAAACAGAGCTCCAGGAATAGATGTTATCTTGATAGTACTGTGACTCCCACTAACTCCAACACCCTTCTCTGCACCGATGGGACCTTCATCCATCTGCAGATCAGCCATGGGCACCAACAACCTGTCCCTCAGAGATCACGCTGCGTTCAGAATCACCAAACCATGTGCCTGACAGGATCATCCATGTTCTAATAGGGCGGCTGTGGCTGAGTGGTTAGAGCAGTCGTCCTCCAATGCGAGAGTTGGGGGTTCGATTCCACCAGCAGTCACATGCCGAAGTGTCCCTGGGCAAGACACTGAACCCCTCATTGCCTCCGATTAATCACTAGATTCAGATTAGCTTTGTATGGATCTAGTATAGAGCTGTATGAATGGGTAAATGAGGCAGATTGTTGTAAAGAGCTTTGAGTATCTTGATCAGATAGAAAGGAGTTGTATCAGAACAGTCCATTTAATACACATCTGTAGCCAACAGCTGTGGGTATCGCCCCACCAGAACCGAGATGCCAAATACAAGCAGCCACAACAAGTGTTGTTTAAAAGGTGGCTGGCGTCACGCTAAGGGACAGAGTTTTACCATCGAACAGAGGCTCAGAGGAAACCCTGTTTGGATATCTGGTCAAGATACCTTCCAGGTGCTTCCCACAAAATGTTCCTTTTATGTATTTAATTTATTTGTTCTTAAGATCAAGAACACCCAAGGCTCTTGGAGTAAGAAGGAAGAAGAGGACGAAAAAGAAGAAAGACGCAAGAACAAGAAAGAAGGAAGAAGTTTTTTCTTTAAACCTGCAGAGAAAGTCCAGCTGGGCTGTTGTTCACAGAGGGAACATGAAAGAATCTGTTTCCTGTTGAACAAAGACATGCTGCCATGTTTGTAGACATTTCTGAACGCTGCAGGATGCTTCACAAACCAGAAACCATCAAAGCAGGAATCAAACTGTCTGGCGAGTCCTGAATATCTTCAGTACGAAGTGGTGTCAAAAACTGGTGTGGAATTAGTAAACATAAACAACAAAACAAACAAACAATTTTATTTATTTTTTTAAAGCAGGGCTATTCAACTGGCGGCTGGTGACTTCAATCCAGCCCACTTCATTTAAAAAAATCTTTTTTGTTTGTTTCTGGGTTTGGGTTCTGTTTATTGCATTTATGATTCAATGCAATAAACAGAACAAATTTAAAAGGTAGCAGATCATTGTAAAACTTTGTTTTATTTACACAATGACTTTAATCTCTGGATGTCCGCCCCCCCGAGCTGCTGGCTTTCAGAAACTGTGGCCCCCTGAGCAGTTTTGTTGAGTAGCCCTGATTTGTTCTTGTTGTTTTTTTGTTTCAAACACTAAAAGTCTTGTTATTGTCTCTGTCTCCAAACTTTCAGTTCTTTCTTCTTGTTTTTTTCTTTCATCCGGAGACCCATAAGCAGCTCCTAACTTAATCACGACGTGTCGTTAATCCGATCAAGTTTTCTTAGTCATCCTTAGTGTGCATCACGGAAGCAATCAACTTTATAACCACAACGATGAAGTTCGCAGCTCTACCCTGTTCTCTGAAGCAAACAGCTCAAATGTTTACATTAAATAAATCCTGCAGATTATAAACCAGAACAAACTTCAGACTAAAAGCCAAACGTGTTTCAGTGATGCCTTTTAAAATAGGAGTTAAACTTTTTAGTTTGAGCCACAAGAGAGCTTTGAACACCATTCACCAGGAAACCCCCTGAACTGGATTCCATAAATCCGCTTTAACTCACCAGTTAGGTCTGAAATGAATTGTTGGCATGTTTATATTTTTATGAATGCAACCAGTTTATATGTTTCACTGCCATCTGGTGAAACCATCCAGTTTAAACAGAAACTGCAGCTCAGATCACATCAACATGTTTGTTCAAACACACCTGTTGTCGTCTCCAAGATGGCCGCCGGTCAGCCCGACTGCAGAAATCCTTATTAACCCGCCCTGCTTGTGTTCAGGTACAATCCATGTGTGACTTGCAGGTGTGAAATCCTCAGAGTATCCAAATATTTCACTTCTTCTTCTTCTTCTTCTGTGGTTTCTGCTGGCAGAGGCACTTCCTGTGGTGGAATAAATATTCTTGTAGTTTGTGGCGAGAGGCTGGATCGTCACCGTCTCTCAGGTGGACTTTAAGCTTTAAACAAGAAGAGGTAAAAGGTACACTCACCTGACGCAGCCATTCAGCCATAAAACAGATAGTCTTCCTGTAACACACACACACACACACACACACACACACACACACACACACACACACTGGTTCATATGTAGTTTGTTCCCTTTTTTTTTTTTTTTGCCAAATTGCTGAAAAACTCTAAAAACAAAGGGTTTGACAGAGAACGTGTGTTTCCCTCTGAACACGTGAAGCTGAAACGTTTCATCTCAACGACAGAAATTAAAGACTGTTTTCAGTTTTCCTCGTGGAATTTTATAGATTGTCATTCCTCAGAAAATTATTTAATGAGGTGATGTTTGTGCTCTCAGGGGTGAATATTTTACTGTTGTTGAATTCTGTTTTATATTGTTTACGTCACAAAACCCAGCTTGTTCTTCAGACTGAAACGTGATTTAAAAACATATCGGTTTATTTTATGTGAACCTTCTGAGGGGATGCTAAGAGCTGAATGATCAATTAATAAGCAGAACACTGAAAAGCTAAAATGACTAGAATAGTAACTAAAACCTAAATTCAATGAATTAGCAGCTAAAAACTAAGAGTAGCAAATGGGAGCTAGCTAAAATCAGCAGAATGGTATGAATCAGTGGTGGGAACAGCTAACCAAAAAGTGACCCATATTCTGCTAAATAAACAATTAGCTTTGCTAATGCTAAACTGCTAAAGAGGTAAAAAGACTAGTGGAAGCTAACGCCAAACTGCTAAACACGTTAAAACATTAGCGGAAGCTAACGTTAAACAGGTTAAAAGATTAGCGGAAGCTGATGCTAAACCGCTAAACGGGTCAAAAGATTAGGTCTGCTAACGCTAAATGGCTAAAAAGGTAAACAAATTAGCGGAAGATAACACTAAACCGCTAAGCAGGCTAAAGGATTAGCTTTTCTAATGCTAAACAGGTCAAAAGATTGGCGTAAGCTAATGTTAAACCACTAAACAGGTAAAAATATTTGCGGAAGCTAACTGTAAATGCTAACCGCTACAACAAATTTCACTCATTCTGCATCACGTCTTCGTCTTCTTCCAGTTGAAGCTTCGACCAATCTCGTCTTGTCACGTGAACATGTGGTCAGCCAATATCATGCCTAACAGACTCTTCAAGACACGCCCACAACAGACAGGAACGAGCTTGTGACTTTTGTTAGCGGACAAAGTTAGCGGAAGCTAATTTAGCAAAAGCTAGTTCTGCTAACGGTTTCTAAAATTAGCAAAAACGATAATCGGCTAAACAAAAAAAATTGTTTTGCTAGAACCGTGCCCACCACTGTTATCTAAAATACAAAAAGTAGCAAAATGTTAGCTAAAACCTGAGATCTGCTTTAGAAGACAAACTTAGAGCGCTGAGTACACTGAAGTTGATTTCAGAGAGAACTATGTTTTAAAGTAATTAAAAAGATTAAGTATTTTATGGTGAATTTTATTTTAAATCAACTGTAAACATTTTAAAAAGTTACTAAAAACATAAAGCACAGTGTCCATCTTGTGAAAGAGCTGAACAATTTGATGTTTAAACAGCTAAAGCTGCACAAGGTGTGCAGAAGAAACCCTAAACCTGAGCGCTGACTCAGCTTTAAGACAAAAATGACTGAGAGGACGTTAAAAAACAGGAAATCAACCGTCTGCAGGGCGGAGACGTTAAATAAATACATTTAACTGTTTCTCTCGCAGGCTGCTGCCGTTTGTGGCAAAGGTAAACACGTTTGATTTAAAGAAAACTGAATCTGCCTCAGATGAAGACGATCCTGTCCAGAAGATGGTGCTGCTGTCTTTTTGTGTTTTGGATTTTATTTACAGTTTGTGAATGTTTCTGTCCAGCGCCCTGAGATGACTTCTGTTGTGACTTGGTGCTT